TATATATATATTTTGTTGGGTTAATGTTTTGAGAGGTAACAAGTTATGCTATTGCTACCGGTACATTTAAGTAGAGATGAGAGTGGATCGAAACCCAGACCGGTAGATCCGGATCCGGAAAACCCGGGAAACCGATTAACAGGATTTTGTAGGACCGGAAACCGAACTGGTATATAGGAACAGGTTGTAGTTCGGTTCCGTGTAAGGTATCGGGTAAAATGGGTCTAGAACCGGAAAACCCAGAAACATTAAAGTAGGTCAGGTGGAACCGGGTAGAGTGCGTCTAGAACCGGAAAACCCTTGAAATCTTAAATTTTTTTGGTAATTACTTAGTGGCTGAATTTTAAAAAATTTCAATTTTGATATCCGAACTTCGGGACTGTAAGTCATTGAATATTAAATCAAAAGTGACAAAATTATAGTCTAAAATCATGTACAAACTCTAAACTACACATTGCAAAAAACCTCATGATAATCCGACTTCAAACGAATTAGATATACATTTTTAAAATTTCACAAAATATAAAAATAAAGTTGAAAAACAGAAAATTCACAGCACTGATATCCCGACTTTGGGAGACTGTAAGTCAATGAATACGAAACCAAAAATGACAAAATTATAGTCTGAAATCATGTACAAACTCTAAACTACAAGTTGCAAAAAAAATCATGATAATCCGACTTCAAACGAATTAGATATGCATTTTTAAAATTTCACAAAATATAAAAATAAAGCTGAAAAACAGAAAATTCATAGTTTTGATATCCCGACTTTGGGGACTGTAAGTCAATGAATATGAAACGAAAAATAATAAAATTATAGTCTAAAATCATGTACAAACTCTAGAATACATTTTGGAAAAAACCACATGCTATTCCGACTTCAAACGAATTAAATATGCACGTTTTAAAACATTCACCTAATACAAAAAAAACATAATATATATATGAAAAACATAATATGTCCAACTTTGATATCTCGACTTTGAGGGACTGTAAGTCAATAAATATCAACTCAAAAATGACAAAATTATAGTCTAAAATCATGTACAAACTATAAACTACACTCTGCAAAAAATCTCATGCGAATCCGACCTCAAACGAATAAGATATGCATGTTTTAAACTTTTCTTAGAAACCGGTTTCGGCCCCTAAAACCGGTTTCGGTTCCTAACACGGTTCCGGTTCTTAAACCCAGTTTACCCGGACCTGAAGGACCTGAAACTTGGATTACCCGGAACCCGGATAAAACCATTATTTAAACCCAGGACCCAGACCGGTTCTACATATTTTGGTTCTAACGGTTCCGGTTTCGGTCCGGTTTTCCGGTTTTAAATCTTATCACTACATTTAATCAATATATAAATGACATTTTCTATTCGATAAATACAATTTTAACCGATGACAATTAGTTTGGCTGGTTTTCGACGATTTATTTGGTTACTTTTCATCTTCAATCATAAAGTCAAAGAAACATTTGTGATTTTCAAATTTTTGAAAACATATGGAAGAATATGTAGTCATTTCAACTATACATATTTGATTATCTAAAAAGAAAATTCCAACCCAAAAGAACCCAATTTTAGTTTTTGATTTATCTCCATTGTGAATCCCAAATGTCTAAATCTAAGGGGTTGTTTGGTAATTTTTGTTAAATGTTGGACTGAATAGTTAAAATCTCTTAGCGGTTACAAGAATTAACCCTCAAATGAAGTTTCTAAGGCTT